CAAGAGAGGACTAGAACCCAGTTCTTCCAACCCTCCATCCAGAGTGCTTTTCACAACCTCACATGTAATAAGTGCAGTAGGGGTGAGAGGAGGGAGTGATTACTTCTGTCTGGTTTGATCCCAGAAGGTTTTTTGAAGAAAGTGTTTTTGAATGAGACATTATAAAAACAGAGCTTCTTAAACCTTTTCCCCCAAGAAATCCCTGGGCAGATAGAAGAGACAGAAATCTGACCTGTGCTTGGTCTGGGGGTATAGACTGAAGGAAACTACTCCAAGGAGAATTTTTTTTCATTTTTCTTTACTTCACGATTCATTTATGCAGGCATTCATTCTTTCATTCATGTATCTAACAAACATAACAAAGTCCTAATTAAGTGCCAGGCATTGTTTTACATGAGACCACAAAAGGCTCTACCCTCCTGCAGCTTACATTCTTGTACAGAATATACATCATACGAATAAGCAACATAAATCATCAAGATAATTTCTGACTGCGGTAAGGGCTATGACTGAAATCAAACAGGGTAGTCAATTACAGAGTGCATATACCTCTCTGTGCCTCAGTTGACTCATCTGTAAAATGGAGATAATAATAGAGGTCTAGGCTAGGTGCGGTGGCTCATGCCTGTAATCCCAGCACTTTGGGAGGCCGAGGTGGGTGGTTCAGTTGAGGTCAGGTGTTCCAGACCAGCCTAACCAACATGGTGAAACCCCGTCTCTACTAAAAATACAAAAATTAGCCAGACGTGGTGGCACGTACCTGCAATCCCAGCTACTTGGGAGGCTGAGACAGGAGAATCGCTTGAACTCGGGAGGTGGAGGTTGCAATGAACCATGATCATGCCATTGCACTCCAGCCTGGGCAATAAGAGTGAAACTCAGTCTCTAATAATAATAATAATAATAATAATAATAATAATGATAATAGTCTATAATTCCAAAACTCTAAACCAAAAGCTGTGTCCTAACTCAGTTGATTGCAAACATAATATGATCTGAATGCATTTGAGGGTAGATCTTGACCTGAACTGAATTTTTTCTTTATTCTTTTTAACAAACAATAAATAACTGAGTTTTTTTTTTTAAATAATTCCACTTAGAGTGGACAATCTTATGTGTCACTGCGGAAATTTTGTGTGTTTCATTATGGAATGCTGCCCCAGGACTCAATAGGTATTACATAATCTAGGGTACATGTAGTATATTACCTTCTAAAATTTGAAAAATTCTGAATTCCAAAACACATGTAGCACCAAAGTTTTTGGATAAGGGATTGAAGACCTGTGGTATCCATTACTGTGAGGATTAAATGAATTAATATATGGAAAACACTTAAAATGATGCCTAGCATATGGTAAGTGCTACCTAAGTTAACTACTATTACTATTATTATCACTATTCTTACATGGGAAGGTATTTAGATAAGTTGGTCAGGGAAAGCCTCTCTGAGGATGTGTCACTTGAATAGGCAACTAAGGGGTGGTAATGACCGGGCTGTGGGAAAAGGAGGAGAAAGATGATTTCAGGAAGAGGAAACAGCAAGTGCCAAGACTGTGGTGGTTACAAGGCTGGCTTGAATGCAGAACAGAAAACAGACCAGATGGCTGATATGTGGTAAAGGAGGGGAAGGATGACTCAAGGTCAGAGAGGTAGGCTGAAGTCAGAACACCCTTGATATAAGCAGTGGTAAAGACTTTGGATTTCATTTAAAGTGTAATAGGAAGACATTGTAGTAGATCTGATTCAGGTTTATAAAGAACACTCTGATGCTGTTTGATGAATGAATTGTAGAGGAGAAGGGGGAGCAGGGAGAACAATTTGGAGTCTAGCATAGTGGTCCAGATGAGACCTAATGACTAATTGGAGTTGGGAGGTGGTAATAGTCAAAGAGAAAAGTGGACAGGTGCGAGAAAAAAGTTTAGAAATAAGTGGTGGTGGGGGGGAAGGTTTTCTGATTAATTTGCATTCTAATTTATAATATGTCAGTGTGTAGAGACTAAAAATTTCACAGTCATTATCTCAGGTGTGTTAAGGCCAGTGGTGTGCTGGACCCTACTTGAAATTGGCCATGGAGGGAATATTTACCACTATAGAAACTGACAAATGCTACAAATCAAGACAACAAATCAGGGAAAGCTGATTGTTAAACATTTATCATCACACCACTGGTGAAGGTGACTTTATTTTTCTACAACTAAACTTCCTTCATTTTACAGCCTCCATTTTCCCTGATCACGAAAACACTTAAACTAGGCACAACCTGGGAAATGTGGTATGAGGACTGTTGTTTCAATCACTTCATGTTTTCAACTCAACTCAGTGATCCTCCCACTTCTTCCCAGGGTCTCATTTAGGTACATGAGAATGGGATGGGAAAAGGGACCTGGTTCATGATTGTCACTTATCCATGTTGGCCCCCTCTGAAGTACAACTCCCCTCTCTGCTTTACAGTATCACTCTGGGCAGCATTACCAATTGCCTCCTAATAGTGGGATCTATGAACCCATTATGTCTTTGGACAAAAGCATAGCAGGGGTTGGGTCCAGGGCCTGGGATCCTATAACTATACAAATATTATTATCAGGGACTATAAAATCCTATTATGAGGGACGATAGCCATCCCCCTATCTTGACTCAACCACTCCTCCCTGAGTAGTGAACATTTTTCCTAAATCTCTGAGAAAGACTGGTGCTCTAGAAAGATGTACCATATTTATTTAAGGGCTTCCTGTACCCACTGGCATATTGCCATATATTCTGAGCTATCTGAGTGCTCCTTTTGAGAAACATAGCCTTAAAGGATAATTAGAATTCTGGTGGGTGAAAATGGTAGGGAAGAGGACTTCAAACAGAGGGACTTGCAAGTCAGGGAACTTGGGTGTATCGACTAGTGAGGCTAGTAGAGGAGTTCAATCAGGTAAGCCAGACAAGTAGACAGGGGACAAATTATGGAAGACTTTGGATGCCATGATAAAAAGCTTCAGCTCATACTGTAAAAAATAAAATAAAATAAGAAGTTCGGGTGCAGTGCCTCATGACTGTAATTTCAGCACTTTGGGAGGCTGAGGTGGGAGGATCGCTTGAGCCTGGGAAACAATTTCAAGGAGCTCAGAGCAAGAAACTGATTGATTAAGGTTTGGGAAGCTTGATAGATAGGGTAGACTGGGAAAGTGAGAGAGGAGGCTTTGGAGTAGACCAAGGGTAGAGGGATCTCAGTTGATATTATGTCAGCTAAAACCGCACACCAAGGAGGATGTTAAGAACAATGAAGGAGGTCAACTGGACTCTCAATGGTTTTAATGATGGGGAGGAAAAGATAGGGTGGTGAGAAGAAGAAAAGACAATTTTGTACGTCTAACTCCAACAAACTTTAGACATGAAAAAGCCCTTCTGAGCCATCTTGCATTGGAGAAAAAAAAATTGCTTATTTACCTCCAATTAGAGGAATTAAAGGAAGTAGGCTTTTTTTGTTTTTCTTTTGAGACAGAGTCTTGCTCTGTCACCCTGGCTGGGGTACAGTGGTGTGATCACGGCTCACTGCAACCTCAAACTCTTGGGCTTAAGAGGTCCTCCCAACTCAGCCTCCCGAGTAGCTGAACTACAGGTATGTGCCACCATGCCCAGCTAATTTTTTTTTTTTTTTTTTTTTCTGTAGAGAGAGGGTCTCACGCTTTGTTGCCCAGGCTAGACTTGAACTCTGGCTTCAAGCGATCCACCTGCCTTGTCCTCCCAAAGCGTTGGTATTAGAGGCATGAGCCACCACATCTGGTGGAAGTAGGCATTTGGTTTCTTAGATATCAACATGATTGGTTGATTCAGTCACTTGGGAAGATAAAAGCATTAACTGAGCTAGATCCCTATGGTAGAGACACAGGCTGGACCACTCCATGTGTAAGTACTAAACTAAAACCAGTGTTCTGGAGTAGACATTGCTAGAAATCCTGAAACTTGAGAGCAAGTCCACGGTTAAAGTATTCTGTAAGGCAGAGTCAGTTGAAGGTAATAAGGTGATTATTAAAGTTCTTCTGCACTTCCCATATTCCCTTTTAGGGCCTTTCTCCCTAGGGTCCCAGTGTCTGTCATGCTAAACCTGGATGCACAAGAACCACCTTTATGGGTAGGTTCCCATATGTCGCAGTTTGCCTGACAGACTTGGTTTATGCCTATAGTCTTGGTGTAATTATTAACAGCCCCACTTCACTCTTGTAAGTATACTAATGGATCAATTATATGGTTCCTCTGATTATGCATCACCTAGTCAGTGCCCTGACTCTATTACTGTCTCCTCTCCAAATTTATGTAATGTAAACTCAATGTGTAGGGAAAATGCTCATCCTAAAATCCCCTTGGAGGGGATAATTTGCAAGATTATTTCCAAAAACAATCCAAGATGAGAGCCAGATTATAGAATGTCAGTGCCAGAATGGCATGAATCTATGTTTTATAATCAAATGCCACTTACTAGTTGGGTAACCTTGGGCCAATCAGTTAATATTGCTGAGTGATGTCTTCATTTGTAAAATGGGAATCAGAATATTCTGAGACTCAAATATTTTGAAAGACTCAAGTAATGTGTACCCGGGCAGGTTTAGCGGGTCAACATCAATTGCACTGAAGTCTTCATGTGTTATTTTTCCTGGGTGTATCCGTATTCTAACATTTCTTCACCTTCCAAATTTCAGACTTTGGCAGTGAATCGATGGCTCTGTCATTTTAGTGTTCCATGTAACAACGAATAGGAAAATGCTGCTTCTACCATCTTGAAAGCTATTTTGCTAAAAAGCTAAGATGCTAAAAGCTAAATATGTAACTAAATAATTGCAAATCTCAGTAATTGACAAATACAGTCATGGGGTTGGGGCTACTGTTCAGACAGTTGGAAACAAGGCCTGAATTATTTGTTTTTAAAATGTTGCAAAAGAGAGGCAGCAAATGGGAAATTTTAATTCTGATTCTTCGTATGTTTTAGAGCAATGATTTGTTCTTTCTTATACTTTCAGATGTTTCCAGTGTGGACACTGAAGAGACAAATTCTTATCCTTTTTAACATAATCCTAATTTCCAAACTCCTTGGGGCTAGATGGTTTCCTAAAACTCTGCCCTGTGATGTCACTCTGGATGTTTCAAAGAACCATGTGATCGTGGACTGCACAGACAAGCATTTGACAGAAATTCCTGGAGGTATTCCCACCAACACTACGAACCTCACCCTCACCATAAACCACATACCAGACATCTCCCCAGCGTCCTTTCACAGACTGGTCCATTTGGTAGAGATCGATTTCAGATGCAACTGTGTACCTATTCGATTGGGGTCAAAAAGCAACATGTGCCCCAGGAGGCTGCAGATTAAACCCAGAAGCTTTAGTGGACTCACTTATTTAAAATCCCTTTACCTGGATGGAAACCAGCTTCTAGAGATACCGCAGGGCCTTCCACCCAGCTTACAGCTTCTCAGCCTTGAGGCCAACAACATCTTTTCCATCAGAAAAGAGAATCTAACAGAACTGGCCAACATAGAAATACTCTACCTGGGCCAAAACTGTTATTATCGAAATCCTTGTTATGTTTCATATTCAATAGAAAAAGATGCCTTCCTAAACTTGACAAAGTTAAAAGTGCTCTCCCTGAAAGATAACAATGTCACAACCGTCCCTACTGTTTTGCCATCTACTTTAACAGAACTATATCTCTACAACAACATGATTGCAGAAATCCAAGAAGATGATTTTAATAACCTCAACCAATTACAAATTCTTGACCTAAGTGGAAATTGCCCTCGTTGTTATAATGCCCCATTTCCTTGTACGCCATGTAAAAATAATTCTCCCCTACAGATCCCTGTAAATGCTTTTGATGCGCTGACAGAATTAAAAGTTTTACGTCTACACAGTAACTCTCTTCAGCATGTGCCCCCAAGATGGTTTAAGAACATCAACAATCTCCAGGAACTAGATCTGTCCCAAAACTTCTTGGCCAAAGAAATTGGGGATGCCAAATTTCTGCATTTTCTCCCCAACCTCATCCAATTGGATCTGTCTTTCAATTTTGAACTTCAGGTCTATCGTGCATCTATGAATCTATCACAAGCATTTTCTTCACTGAAAAGCCTGAAAATTCTGCGGATCAGAGGATATGTCTTCAAAGAGCTGAAAAGCTTTAACCTCTCTCCATTACATAATCTTCAAAATCTTGAAGTTCTTGATCTTGGTACTAACTTTATAAAAATTGCTAACCTCAGCATGTTTAAACAATTTAAAAGATTGAAAGTCATAGATCTTTCAGTGAATAAAATATCACCTTCAGGAGATTCAAGTGAAGTTGGCTTCTGCTCAAATGCCAGAACTTCTGTAGAAAGTTATGAACCCCAGGTCCTGGAACAATTATATTATTTCAGATATGATAAGTATGCAAGGAGTTGCAGGTTCAAAAACAAAGAGGCTTCTTTCACTTCTGTTAATGAAAGCTGCTACAAGTATGGGCAGACCTTGGATCTAAGTAAAAATAGTATATTTTTTATCAAGTCCTCTGATTTTCAGCATCTTTCTTTCCTCAAATGCCTGAATTTGTCAGGAAATCTCATTAGCCAAACTCTTAATGGCAGTGAATTCCAACCTTTAGCAGAGCTGAGATATTTGGACTTCTCCAACAACCGGCTTGATTTACTCCATTCAACAGCATTTGAAGAGCTTCGCAAATTGGAAGTTCTGGATATAAGCAGTAATAGCCATTATTTTCAATCAGAAGGAATTACTCATATGCTAAACTTTACCAAGAACCTAAAGGTTCTGCAGAAACTGATGATGAACGACAATGACATCTCTTCCTCAACCAGCAGGACCATGGAGAGTGAGTCTCTTAGAACTCTGGAATTCAGAGGAAATCACTTAGATGTTTTATGGAGAGATGGTGATAACAGATACTTACAATTATTCAAGAATCTGCTAAAATTAGAGGAATTAGACATCTCTAAAAATTCCCTAAGTTTCTTGCCTTCTGGAGTTTTTGATGGTATGCCTCCAAATCTAAAGAATCTCTCTTTGGCCAAAAATGGGCTCAAATCTTTCATTTGGGAAAAACTCCGTTATCTAAAGAACCTTGAAACTTTGGACCTCAGCCACAACCAACTGACGACTGTCCCTGCGAGATTATCCAACTGTTCCAGAAGCCTCAAGAATCTGATTCTTAAGAATAATCAAATCAGGAGTCTGACGAAGTATTTTCTACAAGATGCCTTCCAGTTGCGATATCTGGATCTCAGCTCAAATAAAATCCAGATGATCCAAAAGACCAGCTTCCCAGAAAATGTCCTCAACAATCTGAAGATGTTGCTTTTACATCATAATCGGTTTTTGTGCACCTGTGATGCTGTGTGGTTTGTCTGGTGGGTTAACCATACGGAGGTGACTATTCCTTACCTGGCCACAGACGTGACTTGCGTGGGGCCAGGAGCACACAAGGGCCAGAGTGTGATCTCCCTGGATCTGTATACCTGTGAGTTAGATCTGACTAACCTGATTCTGTTCTCACTTTCCATATCTGTATCTCTCTTTCTCATGGTGATGATGACAGCAAGTCACCTCTATTTCTGGGATGTGTGGTATATTTACCATTTCTGTAAGGCCAAGATAAAGGGGTATCAGCGTCTAATATCACCAGACTGTTGCTATGATGCTTTCATTGTGTATGACACTAAAGACCCAGCTGTGACAGAGTGGGTTTTGGCTGAGCTGGTGGCCAAACTGGAAGACCCAAGAGAGAAACATTTTAATTTATGTCTCGAGGAAAGGGACTGGTTACCAGGGCAGCCAGTTCTGGAAAACCTTTCCCAGAGCATACAGCTTAGCAAAAAGACAGTGTTTGTGATGACAGACAAGTATGCAAAGACCGAAAATTTTAAGATAGCATTTTACTTGTCCCATCAGAGGCTCATGGATGAAAAAGTTGATGTGATTATCTTGATATTTCTTGAGAAGCCCTTTCAGAAGTCCAAGTTCCTCCAGCTCCGGAAAAGACTCTGTGGGAGTTCTGTCCTTGAGTGGCCAACAAACCCGCAGGCTCACCCATACTTCTGGCAGTGTCTAAAGAACGCCCTGGCCACAGACAATCACGTGGCCTATAGTCAGGTGTTCAAGGAAACGGTCTAGCCCTTCTTTGCAAAACACGACTGCCTAGCTTACCAAGGAGATGCCTGGTGGTTTAAATTGTTTTCATGTATGTCACACCAAAAGCGTGTTTTGAAATTCTTCAAGAAATGAGATTGCCCATATTTCGGGGGAGTCACCAACATCTGTCACAGGAGTTGGAAAGATGGAATTTATATAATGCATTGAGTCTTCTTTCCTATGTCTCTGTGTCTCTATTTGCACTTAAGTCTCTCCCCTCAGCTCTTGTATAAAATACTGTTGGGAAAGGAGTGCCAAGTAAAAAACACAGGGCTCTGATGCTCCTGTAATTGTGATGATTAAATATACACACAATCATGACATTGAGAAGAACTGCATTTCTACCCTTAAAAAGTACTGGTATATACAGTAATAGGGTTAAAAAAAAGCTCAAGCTCTGTCTATATGAGACCAAAATGTACTAGAGTTAGTTTAGTGAAATAAAAACCCAGTCAACTGGCTGGGCACGGTGGCTCATGCTTGTAATCCCAGCACTTTGGGAGGCCGAGGCGGGTGGATCACGAGATCAGGAGTTCAAGACCAGTCTGGCCAACACGGTGAAACCCTGTCTCTACTAAAAATACAAAAATTAGCTGGGCGTGGTGGCAGGTGCCTATAATCCCAGCTACTTGGGAGGCTGAGGCAGGAGAATTGCTTGAACCTGGGAGGCGGAGGTGGCAGTGAGCCAAGATTGTGCCACTGCACTCCAGCCTGGGCGACAGAGCTAGACTCTGTCTCAAAAAACAAACAAACAAACAAAACCCAGTCAACTTCTTAACCAATTGCTTCTGTGTCATCCAGGGCCCCGTTCTGTGCAGATCGAGTGTGGGCACCACACAGGTGGTTGCTGCTTCAGTGCTTCCTGCTCTTTTCCCTTGGGCCTGCTCCTGGCTTCCATAGGGAAACAGTGAGAAAGAAAGACACATCCTTACCATAAACGGATATGGTCCACCTACAAATGGAAAAATATTTAAATGATCTGCCTTTATACAAAGTGATATTCTCTACCTTTGATAATTTACCTGCTTAAATGTTTTTATCTGCACTGCAAAGTACGGTATCCAAAGTAAAATTTCCTCATCCAATATCTTTCAAACTGTTTTGTTAACTAATGCCATATATTTGTAAATACCTGCACGCTTGATACAGCAATGTTAGATGGTTTTGACGGTAAGCCCTAAAGGAAGACTCCGAGAGTGTGTATTTATCTATACTTTTATCGGAGATGACAATTATTTGAATGCCAATTATATGGATTCCTTTCATTTTTTGCTGGGGGATGGGAGAAGAAACCAAAGTTTATAGACCTTCACATTGAGAAAGCTTCAGTTTTGAACTTCAACTATCAGATTCAAAAACAACAGAAAACAACAGAAAGAACCAAGACATTCTTAAGACGCATGTACTTTCAACTGGGTATAAATTCATGAGTTCAAAGATTGAAACCTGACCAATTGGCTTTATTTCATGGAAGAAGTGATCTACAATGGTGTTTGTGCCATTTGGAAAACAGCGTGCATGTGTTCAAGCCTTTGATTGAAGACATCATATTTTCCTCATATGTGGCAGTGCCAAAGGCTTTACTTTACCTGTGAGTACACACTAAATGAATTATTTCCAAAGGACATTTAATCAGTAAGGGTCACAAATTCCCAAATTAATCTCTGGAATAAATAGAGAGGTAATTGAATTGCTGGAGTCAACTGTTTCACAACTTCTGTAAGCTTTATTGTGTTTCATAGTTTCTGTTCTTCTTCCATGAGAACAAGGATAATGGCATTAAAAAATCAGCTTTTCGCCATTATAAATTGTCTTCTATTGAAACACATAAATACATAAAATCACTTGAAGACAACTTAAACACTTTCTGAAATGGATCAAGAGGAAGGGAAAATGAAAATAATGCAACTCAGAAACCACAGAGTATTTTGACATGAGGTTAAGTACGGTGGTTTGTTATAGGAAAATAACAGCACACTAACAGATGGTTTTTATCGGAATTCTTTGGTAATCTTGACATGTCATACTTTTAACTTTCTGAGGGCCCTCAGTGCAGCTTTGTAGGACTGGAGCTGTTCATAGATGGTCCCCACAAAGCTCTGAATGTGGGGCTTCTCTGCTGACTGGCCTCTGGTTGGCTCCACCCCAGAAGGGACTCTCAGATTTTCCATGAATTCTGCTTCCACCATCAAGTGTTGGTTCAAGCCCCTTTCAACCTTGACTTGGCCAGGGAGTGTCCTTTCTCTTCAGATAGATACTACACCTTAGCAAGACTTGGTATTTTTAGAATCCAAGCCAAGAGAGGCACTTGGCAGGGCAAATGTTATGGATGAGAAAAAGGCAAAACATGTGTCTGCAGTTTGTAGAGGAGAGAGGATGAGTCTGATTGTAGCCCCGACCCTGAGTCAGGATCTCTCGGCCCCATTTGCAGGTCTACTTCCAGCTCCATCTGTCTGGACACTCTTTTAGGTCCAGATCATCTCTTACATGTGACCAAGGAATATAGAGTATGCAAGGGGATGTGGCGACCTGAGAGTGTGGGTAACTTGTGCCCATCTCCAAGGAAGCTGTGATGGGGATAGCAAGGACACACACTCTTCTTATTTATAATGCCTTTCCACCTCCCATAAGATATGCTTTTTATTTACTTCCTGCTTCTCATCCTAACTCGGGTGAACAAGAGGACCAGGTTGTACATCCTGCTAGTTATTTATGGCCCAATTTTAACATGGGGGTGGAGTTGAGGTTGGAATTGTTCCTCCGCCTCTGCTGCACATGCTCAGTAAGCAGGAACACTATTCATGGGAAAGGCTTAGTCACAGATAGTGGGAGCACATCCCTCCTTGGAGCTTCGGGTCGCTGTGCTCTAGAAGCAGTTAGTTATAGCACATGCTGCTCCTGGCATCTACTGGAAGGTGAAGCCCTTGACCCTAAGAAACACTGGGAATGATTTGTACCCTCCACAGTCCAATAGCTACGTGGGAGGGAAACGATCAAAGAACATGATTGAGGGGACTCCAACAGAGATGTGCTTCAGACAACACCAAGACAAAGATTAATCCATTTCACCAAGTTAACAATATACTGAAGGCGAACAAGAGAACCCACCTGCCAACCAACGCTATGAAGAAGGAGGGTTAAAAAGAAAATAAGTCCCAGACTCATAAGATGGTGTGGAAAGGGCCCTGGTGACATAGGGGCCACCCACGCCAGTGAGAATGAAATCACAATAGGGCAGTTTCACACTGTTTCAGGTTTTTTTTTTTCTTCTTCTTCTTTCCCTCCTTTCTTCTTTTGCCTCCCCCTCCCTCTCAGTTTCCTTTTTGGCTCTAGACACCCACGGCAAGTGTCAAGCTATGTACAAGAATGAAAAGAAGACAGCCGTTGTTGCAGGTGGATGCTTCTGTTTGGAAGGTGTGGTTTTGTGTGCACTTTTGGTTGGAAACCTATGTCTCTCTCACACACATGTCCCCCACCTGCTTCAGTGAGCATGATCTTCTAAAATTGGCTCCGTGGAATCTTCCCTAGGTGACACTGGCTGGACTCTCTGCCACATTCAAATTCACTCTTTCTACTTATCTCAACTTTCAAGCACTAATTCAGTCTTTAAGATTCCCCTAATCTCAGGTTGTAATTCATTTCTAACATGTTTGTCATGACGTCAGTGGTTGCATGTCTTCATATGTTTATCACTGCCCCCTCTTGGGGATTTATATTAATTAAACGTTTTGGAAAAGCTCAGACTTAAAATGACTGAGAGGGTTCTCGTTAGTGTCTCACACTGAACACTCACTAAAAATAGTCTGGTAAAATCCAGAAGGAAATGGGAAGTCCTGGGGGCCTCATGACAGTTTTCAGACATCCCTAGAGCAAAGATGAGCCAGACAGCGGCTCCCACAGACAGAAAATGGCTCTCAATATTCTTCTGGCCAGTGGCAACTACTGAGGCTAAGACTAGACAGAGACGGCTAACTAGGAAGCCATATTGCTCTTGTATGACACATGGCTGCTTTACTTCTCACTGGCCAAGACAACACCGTGAGGCATAGATTCCAGGGGATTTCATAACAGTGAATTGCATGAGTTGACTTGAGCAAAAGAAGTTTATAGTAACATATCCATGAACCCATATCTGAGGCCCATTGTCCAGGTGGACCACACTGCTGAGAAGATTGCTTGGGCTGTTTTGGGAGCCAGAACTAGGTTGTTGTCCTGCTATCACCCCGGGATGGTGGTAACATCCCTACACCAGGTCCAGATGGAGGCCCACCAAACAGAACTTAGTAACAGGTGACATGCATTAAATAAAACAGTTTATAACTCCCATCTCTCTTCTGGGCCTACATTTCTCATGATTGATTTCTTTGCCTTTGGATTGAGGCATCGTAACTAAAATTCCCAGTTAATTTACAAACTTTCAAGGGTTGTTTTAACACATTATTCCTGCCCTTTAACACATCACTCCTGTCCATTAACACATCGTGATGGATTAATCTGTGAGATGATCAACTCTCCAGAACAGGCCACCGAAGAAAACAGAACACAAGAAGCATGTTCTGAATGGAGAAGATGCATTTTAAAGTAATCCCAACTTTGGCTCCTACTCATGAGGGCAGGCCCACAAAGGGAATGACAGGCAAGGAGGGAGTGAGGAGGATCTTAGGAAGAAGGGTTCAAGATGAAGTCACTGGTATCCCGTCAATGTCATTGAGCAAGGGGTGGAAGGGAAGGAGGAAGGAAGGTCACATCTATTAAGCAGAAAATGCAAATTAAATGCTTAATTTATTCCCTTGAATGTTCACATCACCTCTGTGAGGCTAGTATTAGCAGCTCCGTCTTAAAGATGATGTGTTAACTCAGAGATAAAGGTAAGATCAGAGAGGTAAAGTCAACTGCTCAATCTCTGGGACCCAGAAGTCCGCATCCCTGCAATACTTTTGAAGCAACTGGCTTGCAGAGCAGTTTGGGAAGCACCACATCTTCCTTTGGGACACCAGGGACTGTTATTACAGGGATCACTTTAGCAAGGAAAGTCCAGACCCCCCAGCTGTGCTCAATTTCCCTCCTTTTGTGTATAAACTTTGGTGCTCTCAGCCTACTTCCCGGGAGTGGAGCTGCACTTAAACTCAAATTGCTTCCCACTGGGCACTGTTTTTGGACAGATGTAATTTAACTATATAGGACTGGCAGTTCTGTTTAGGGCCCAAAGGTGAAGACAATTTGAACAAGAACACTAGGGCAGAATTAGATAGACAGGAGCAAGTGGTTAAAGGAATTGAAGTCCCGTAAGTCCTGATAGAGTTGCTGATTACATTTGTGGGTAAAAGGATGTCTTTACCATAATTTCCCTAACATCTTACAGATAGACGCTGTGGGTTTACTTATATGGTGCCAAGTGCCACCTAGTGGGGTAGGAAATCCCTCCTGGATGCTGATATTCTGCTTCTGAGACCCTTACATGGGCTTCCAAAGGGGAATGTAGGAAGAAAATGTAAGAACAGATATAGTCATGTTTTTAAAAGTATGTCTGTGGCTATTTTTATCATATACCCAGTGTATTAATATAGAAATATGTAGGACTGTGTGTTAAATGTTTACTGATGTGAGGGCAGTTTAAAAATAAGTTGAAGGCCAAAAATAAAAAATAAAAATGAAAATGAAAAATAAGTTGAAGGCCACAGACTAGTGAATATTTGTTTCTGTCATTTATTTCCATTGCTTTTGCTTTAAGTCTCAAAATGGGGCCAGTCATGAATTTCCTTTTGCCGGTGCACATGTAGATGTATAGCCTTGAGTTAACTGGGTGACCGATCCTCTTTTTGCTACATTTCCATTTTTTATAGACTGTGGCCCCCATTTTAAAACTGTATTTGAGTATCAGTATCTTTCTTGCACATTCTAGCTGAACATTCTCTCTCTCTCATATTTCCAAGCAATCCAAACGCTAACCATTCCCTCTGTCACCACCCCCCACTCTATAAATGGCATTTTGAAGCCTGCAGTAACTTGACAGTTTGAGGGTTTAGGTCATTTTCATCCTATTTGCCTACTTGACTGTCAGTTCATGAAGACAGTTGCTGAACGGGCATGATGGTTGGGTGTTTCATGCCCATTAATTAAGTCAAAGGCGATGGAGTGCTTACTTGCTAAGATATATATACACGTACATACCTACCTATATATTCTGTATACACACATATATAGCTGTCCATATATATATGCAAGCATGTATACATTTGTGTGTATTAGAATTACTGATAATTAGAATTACTGAATTACTGATGGCCATGTTTTGCATAGATTAATTGTAAACCTAAGTAAGATAAACCATAGAAAGTACTCAGCACAGGGTCTGACATCTATCAAACACTCCATAAACAATAACTTTTTAAATTCTTTTTATTACTTTGGATATCTAATCAATCATATAATCTCTCTCTTTTTTTTTTTTTTTGAGTGCAATGGCACAATCTCAGCTCACTGCAACCTCCACCTCCGAGTCCAAGAGATTCTCCTGCCTCAGCCTCCCCAGTAGCTGGGACTACAGGCATGCACCACCATACCTGGCTAATTTTTGTATTTTTAGTAGAGATGGGGTTTTGCCACATTGGCCAGGCTGTTCTCGAACTCCCGACCTCAGGTGATCCGCCTGCCTCAGCCTCCCAAAGTGCTGGGATTACAGGCGTGAGCCACCACGCCTGGCTAATCAATTACATAATCTCAAGAGGCTAATACAGTGAAAATCTTTAACATTTTTCTTTTAGTATACAGTATCTGTGAAATTTGTTGCTACTTATCACTTATCCTGTACATAAAGTTTATGTTCAACATTTCATGTACTACATTCATACATTATTTAACAATTTTTTAATTTAAAGGGTGACACTCAAGTTATTGCTCTTCCATTTGTTACATATTCTCAATCAAAACTTCTGTTTTCTCTAGATTTGAATTCATCAAAGTTTCCAGAAATGTCCCAGATTCCCAGAGGTCATCTCTGTAGGCTTTTTTAAATACAAGTTTTCATTTTCCATAACCTTCTCTCTACCATAAGAACGCTGACCACTTCCTGCTTGTAGCTTATCCGAGGAAAGTCCCTTTTAGTTGATCCAAGTTCCCAGATTTCCCCAATTCTGCTTTTTCCTGTGATCCCACAAGAAGCTCCAAAAGTATGAAGTAGTGCCAAATGTTAACTTACATAAAACCCTGCGAACGTACTTGCAAGCATCAGCATTGAGTTCTTCCTCTTCCTACCCACCCCCTACTCCTGATTTCCCCCTGACTCTGGGTATAACTGGTGTTCTCCATGGTCACATGTGAGTTTAAATTCTTCCAGATGTTTTCATAAAAACTTCATTTTAAAAGCCATGTTGAAGGAGACAATAGCAGAGTTTGTACACAAAAGTATGAAGTGGTTTCTTCTGAGAATGGGCCCGGCAGGGCTTACCTGCCTATAAGCGGCACTGGTCTCCAAAGTTGTGCCAAGTCTAACCTTTGTGAAATTCACCTGGGAATTTAGAATTCCACTTGGAATGCTTGATGCTTGGGTGTTTCACGCCTGTTAGTTAAGTCAAAGACATTGGGGTGCTTACTTGCTGAGATATATATACGCACGTACACATCCACATATATATTCTGTATACCCACATATATACCTGTCCATATATGTTTGTGTGTATATGCATGCATATACATGCAAGCGTGTATATATTTGTGTGTGTGTGTGTTAGAATTACTGATAAGCTCATAGCCATGTTTTGTATAGATTAGTTATAAACCTAAGTGTTCAGAATTGTTGAGGCTTGAGGTAGCTAGTTACTCACACCCTCTCCAGCTGAGCCATTCACACTGCAGACAGTGTGGCTGAGAGTGAGCAGGTGCATGAATTCCATAGGCCATAGCTTGGACTTGCAATCTTGCAACTCTCCAGTGCCTCCACTCCATCACAGGTAGCAAAGGAGAAACGCAAGCCATCAATCCAGAACAAAGGATTCCTGTCACAGAGAGCTCACCTTAGGGCAGCAGAAACAAAGAGAGGGTGCACTCCGCCTATAGGCAGGCTGTCCTGACAGAACAAGAGCCAGGAGACTTGAGGCAGCAGCAGCAGGGACAGTTTCCCCACTGTCACCAATCCCACAAGTCACTCTGTCTCTCGTGAGAAGCATAGCAAGGAGTAAAGAGGAAGAGGGACAAGTCCCCACCCTTCCGTATTTCAGGGGTTGATTTCGAAATGTAGGGAGAAGAGAAAAGTTCCTCTAAAGTACCATCCTGAAGCAACAATAAATGAATAAATTCTCAACCAGGTTGTCTACACTGAGATGCCAAGTCTGTAAAACATGGTGCTGTGCTTGGACTCATGACATGAAAAAGACTCTTTCCTGCAGGACAGAGACCAAAGCTTACAGGTTTCCCCTCATTATGAATCTACTGTACAGAAGATAGACAAAGTCCCTACCTTCATGGGGCTAAAGATAAAATTTCCAAGACTTGGCTGGGTGCGGTGGCTCACGCCTGTAATCCCAGCACTTTGGGAGGCTGAGGCAGGTGGATCACCTAAGGTCACGAGTTCGAGGCCAGCCTGGCCAACATGGTAAAACCCCCCCAAAATACAAAACATTAGCCAGACATGGTGGCTCATGCCTGTAGTCCCAGCTACTTGGGAGGCTGAGGCACGAGAATCACTTGAACCAGGGAGATGGAGGTTGCAGTGAGCCGAGATTGTGCCACTGCACTCCAGCCTG